GCTACACTAGTTAATAGAGTAGAGCAGGGTCCTAGTAACCTATACTTACTCCCAGCCTGATAGGGATTATAATCCTATCTAGGGTGGGAGTCTTATAACCACCACTAGATTCCCCTGTGAGCAGGGGAGGAACTAGGCATCTAGGGGCAGCTCTATCATCAGGCTGGAAGCCTAGGTGTTAATACTACTAGCAGTGGGTGCTAGGGTATCCTAGTTAGCCCTAGGAGTGCCTGCTAGAGGCAGCAGTAGCCTAAAGACAGAGGCTCCCCTTGTGATGGGGGCTGGCCACACTCTTATTAGGTTAACAAAGAAGGGGCTGTAAATAACCCTATATGGGGGGAGGAAGGCCCCTATAGGCATAAGGGAGAGAGAGGTGGGAGGAGCTATAGTAGTAGTAGTAGTAGTAGTAGTAGTAGTAGCAGTGGCAGCAGGCCCAGCAGGGGTGGTGGCAGCAGGCCTAGCAGCAGGCAGTACAGCAGTAGTAGCAGTAGTAGTAGGTGCAGGGGGGAGAGGCATAGTAGGTAGTAGTAGTAGTATAAAGGCTGCCTCCTCCTCCTTTTATAAGGACTATTAGTAAGAGTAATATAGACTTACAAGCCTTTACTTACCTCTGAGAGGTCAGAGGGGATAGGTGATAGCAGGGATATAGGGGAGGAGGTATAAGAGGATATTTTTCTAAAAATATCTTATGATATATTAACCACCTCTCACCTAAACATTATAAATCACGGAGGGTCCCTTACCAAAACTTTTATAATGAAAACTAGGGAAAATATAGAAGATAGAGTAGAAAAGAGGTTATATACTCTATAAAAACTACTACTACCCTAAACCCTACTCTATAGAGATTTTATATAATAAGGCTGTTAAGGGATTTTCAGGAGTATTATAAGAATAAGTAATATAAACCTAAAACATAGTATAAGAAGATTTTAATAGTGATAAAAATATTATAGTCAAAGGGATCTACCCATAACTAAGCCTTTATAAGAAGATGAATAAAACATATTTATAAAAGAAGAGGGTAGCAAACCTTTTCTATTATTTATAGTTTTCTCTTTATAAAGAGGGTTTTTACTAAATAAAGGTTTTTACTAGTGCACCCTATCATAAACAAGGAATCTCAGACAGATGTTAGAGGCTAAGGTCTTCTCAGGGGGGGGGTAGTTATAAGGATTATGAAGGTCCTTTATATACTATAGTAAAGTTACCTTTGCAGAGGAGCCTACCTGGAGGGAGGATCCTTATAAGAGGTTATGTGAATAGTCACATGATATATAAGGATAAAAACCCCACCTGCAACCACTAAACTCTGAAGTTCAGTGATAATCTCTTTGAATAAGGACACCTACATTTGAACCTATTCACAAACATTCTTCTTTCACACTAGTTTCCAACTCTCGCGGATCATAGATCCTTATAGATCCTTACCTAAAAAATAATTATTATAAACTAATATATAGTTATGAGATGCACCTTACTACTAGAGAATAATAGCTAATATATAGCCTAAGTAAGTATATTTCTTTATATCTAGCTTCTTATTCTTATTAAACTTCTAGATAATTAGGTAAATAATATCTATCACCTTTAATATGATTTTATTAGGCCTACTAAGATAGTCTTCTACTACTAGTAAGAGATAATTACTAAAATAAGGAAGGATACTTACTAAACTTACTAGAAGTAACTATATTTTTTTAATAGATAAGATAGCCTTTATCCTTCTTTTATAAAGTATCTATATTTACTAAGTATAAGAAGAATATAGAAGACTAGTATATAAAGAAAGAGACTTACTAAAAGAAGATAATAATTAATATAATAAAAAGAAAGATGCTTATAGGAGAAGAAAAGAAAAAGAGAAGAAGAAATATAAGAGATAAAAAGAGAATAAGTAAGATAAAGTATAGTTACCTAAAATTAAAATAAATAATATATAACCTTACCTTACCTCTATTATAATAACTATACTAGTAATCCTCCTTACTATACATAATCTAATATTACTTATTAAGTATGATCTAATACTACTTACTAAGCATAATCTAATACTACTTACTAAGCATAATTTAATGCTACTTACTAAGTATGATCTAATACTACTTACTAAGCATAATCTAATACTACTTACTAAATATAATCTAATATTACTTACTAAGTATAAATCTAATCCTACTTACTATATATAATATTACTTCCTTAGACTATAAGGATCTTTTAGTAAGGAGCTAGATAACCTGCTAAGGATAGGCTTTATCTTAAGTAAGGGAGGATGTGATATTAGTAAATAAATATTATAAATAGATTAATAATTATTAAGGTTAATCCTAGATTACTAAGGTTAATCTAAGAAATCTCTATAATATCTATGACTTATCTTTTAGATAGATAGCCAGTAGCTAGATATAAATATAAGACCTTACCCCAGGTAAGTAAAGAGGCATTAGCCCAGCCTATCTCTCTTCACCCCTGGTGATACTACCTTACCCATGGTAATTCCAATACTATATAGAGGAGGCTTATAGATTAGGAAGATTATAAGGTACTAAATACTAATTATAAAGATTATATTATAGAGGGTTATAATACCTGTAAGGGGCAGAATCATAAATATAATCTAGGCCTTAAGGGACTAAGGCCTATAAGAGGGGGGGGGTAGTTATACGGCCTTCTAATAGTATAGGTAAGATATCTATCCTACCTATATGAGGATATCTTAGTCAGCCCTTACTAAGCAGGGGGTTAGGTAAATTCTCCCTTATAAAGGAAGAATCCCAACCTAGCATTAATCTACTTAATTATCTGAATTCTTGAAATCCAAGCTACACAGTATCTATTCTTTCACACTAGTCATATTCTATACACAAGACCTAGTGATCTCACAGTCTGGGACCAGTGTTCACCTCACTTATTGAAGGATATCAATTCTTATCAGTCAATAGTTATCAACTCTTCACAATATACTGATTGCGAATCCTGCTATCTTTATATCATTACCTTGGAGGATACTCATTCAAGATTCTTTATTCATCTTGAGAGATGCACATTTCACTGGACTCGCAATCAGTCCATAAAAGTTTTATCAAGTATTAGATTTCCAGTCAAAAATGTTTGTACTGGGCTTGAAGAGCTAAAATGTCTTCTTTACCTCCCGGAGAGCCTTATGAGTTGGGAACTGTTAGGCTATCTAGATATATATATAGGAACTGGGCCATGATTTGACATAGGGTCAAATCATTGTAGGTCTTTTGCCTCAGTGGTAAGTAGGCGGCCCAGTGCCTACTCATTACAGGAACAGCCGTGCCACTGCGCAGAATGGGTGTAAGTCTACTGAGATATCTCTTGTCACGTCTTATCTTACAATCTGTAGGTGCCAATTTGTGTCAAGTTACGAGAGGAGTGTATCAAATTCCATTTTGGGGAAAATGCTTTTGATAATTGGATGACCACCTGTTAAGTCATTTGGAAGTCAATGACCAAGCTGGGGATCGAATATTCAGCTGAAGTAGATAGGAAATCCACATTATTTACTATCTATTAGGTAGTGTTCCGTCCATACTGTCCTCAAAATATATCTAACACCTTGCTCAAATGTGATATTCTTTGGCTAATTTTCAATTTGAGTCGTGCTATGCGCCAACTGCCAACATTAACCTATTTCTGAATAGGTTTTCTCGCGAGAAAACCTTATCCATAAAGGGTTCAAGCCAGCCCCACTCCGCAAAGAGATCCACCGAATCCTATTTGATCAAGAGCATTGACTTGGTCTATGGTAATGGAGGTGTATACGGTGCAAAAGTCTAGCATGTCTGCTTCATTTATTATCCAATATGTGCTGTCTTCATAAGCCTGCTGTTTAGTATTTATGTTGTCTCAATAATCTATAAATGCTACTCACGTGGATGGTCATGTGCCTGCCCCTGCTTTCCACGTGCCTGACACTGACTAATCCGATCCAAAAAGAACAATTCCATCGTCACGCTGTTTATTTGATCCAGCTTTATCTTAAGAAAAGGGAAGCCTCCTAGAAGAATTTGGTAGATCTAATAGAGGAGTCGATCGAAATCGTTAATTCAAGAACTCAGGTGGAAAATTTGACTCGATACTTCGAACTTCGCAAAATTCGCTAAAGATCATTGGAAAAGACAAATAAGGCCGCTCTCTAACAGTAGTGTACCCACATGAACTAAGTACAAACAACCCCCTGTGGGAAGGCAGCGCAGAAACAGGCAATCTCAGGCGTGAGAATCTCCAACTTGTTAAATTGAAGGTAACGATATATCTCAGCGAAATCAGCCACACAACAAGAGGCAATCCAAAACCCTGGCTCAGGAGCTATGGCAAAGAACCGGGTAAACCATGTGACCGAAATGTCCCAACGCCCGAATTCTCTAGATGGTAGGTTTCACAAAATTTTCTTGAGCAATTAGGTGCTGTTGCGTCAGAGAAGTTTGAAATGTAACAGAAACGACATGAAAACCTATCATTATGCTAGGCTGAAAGAAATTCTACAGCAATAGTGTTGTATGACTTCACTATATCACTGATGTTTATGGTAGCGGTACTCCTCGAAACAAAAAAGTCACCTTCATCTGGGTCTCGGTAAAGATCAACCTACACTCATTTTTCTTTAGTAGCTTGCTTTTTGAGCGCTCGAAAAAAGAATTGTGACGGGACCTTTCCATTCCATTGTCGAGTACCGATGAGATTGGCCTTTGATATTCAGTCGTTCAGCGTCAGCCTGAAAGCCTACATCTGCAGGGTAAAAATAGGAGGAAGAAAGTGGAGAAACAGGCTCCATGTCAGCGCTTAGGATTCGCCTGACCTAAGCCTATCTGTGGTATTGAAAAAATACTAGACTACTTATGTGAAGCGGCTCAGGTTAAATATCCGTAAACATAAAAGGTTTCCGTTTTCTCTGGAACCAAAATCTCCTCAGGCCTTTTCTCTCCAACCTCTAGTCTACCTTTTGCGAATTGATCACTTCATTCTCTATCATGGTTGACCCATCCGTGCCCGTCCCCACAACGTCTCGGGAATGGCATATTGAGATTAGCCGTTCGGGACTAAGCACCCAAACCATCCATGATATCCAGTTGAAGTCCGCCTCCCGTGGTTCCAGGGAACAGTTTTTATTGCTCCGAGTGCTTTGGCAAACCCATATCCCTTCAGATTTTCTGAAGTTCTTCGACTTGGAACCATGGCTGCTAGCTGCCAAAGAGAAATTGGAAACTCTTTCCTCATGGAAGAAATACTGCCAAAGCTTCACGGGCCCGATCCCCGAGGGAACCTTTGCACCAGCCCGTCATTATCAATTAGAAGTTTCTAAAACAGAACAACATGATATTGAAATTGGTGTTCTTTTCAGTCCCAAAGTTCACAGAACTCGTTCGAAAGTGCAAGCCGAACAGCTTCCGATCCGCCAACCGGACTTTACAATCACAACCCCTCCGAGGGCGCCCAACCAAGTATTTGAAACACCCCATATCGATGACGACGAGGCAGATTCCAGTCCCCTAGGTCCCTCGTCGTCGCCTCCATCTCACTGGAGCACTATTGCCCTCGAGAACCAGTTCATGTATCCCCCAACAAAAGATGAGCAGATTGTCAATACAGCTCTCCTGGACTTTCTTAACGCCCTTACACTTCACTTCAATCTGAATGTCATTTGGTCTTTGCATCGCATGCCGCTAATAGCAGAATTTGCCAATTCAAAATTTGAAGCAAGGGTTGACGGGTACCTTGCCGATCGCAGTGGTGATATTAAAGCTATCATAGAAGTTAAGTCGGCGCTCAGACAATCAAAGGAGCCGCAAATTCGCATACAAGAGAGCCACCAGATTGTGGCTGGCTTATTGTCAGACGTCAAATCATCGATTTCTGCACGTCGGAATAAACCGTAAGTGAACATTCCTCTCACGAAATTTTCCCCCTCAACGCTGACTTGGTAGATAATAGTCGCATCATTATATCACAAGATAGGCAGGAGATCTATATTTCGGTCGCCGAGTACAACGCTGGTTATATCAATTATCTTGAGACAGGGGATGTCCGCAACGATCCCTTCATGGTAATGCATCAATTTGGTCCCTGGAACATTAATAGCGCCACTGCTATGGCCGACGTAGGACCAATTCTTCTAGCGATCAGCATCAAAGCTGAGTGTTACTAGAAGTATGAGTTTGTTACTCAGTCTTGCTCATGCTCTTTGTATTTATCCCTTTGATTATTGAAATTGAAGTTTCTTTCAGCCTTCAAGACCTCATGGTTGGCTAATGTTTTTGGGTTATGTCAGTATTCACGCTTAACGACAATGGGACCCATATTCTTCGGGTGAATAGCCGGATAATTGATTGTTCCGACCCGGTCGATCCTGAGCTTAATTTGACATCCATTCCGCCTGTGCGGCGGCCTCCTTCGCTGCCTCATCCGCGGCCTCGTTCCCCTCCACGCCGACGTGGGCGGGGTTCCAGCGTATCCTCACTACTCAGTATGCTATCTGAGATGTGGAAGACTAGTATACTACTCCGATTACTATCGACCACCAAAGCTGCAACCCCCACATACCCAGATGCAAAATATTTAGATTACGTGTACAAGAGTCCCCTTATGTAAATAAAGACGGGATCAGAGCCTCTTCACTAGATCTTCTACGCTGAGCGGATGACAGATGTCACTTCTGCAGCTTTATTCAAACAGTCGGAACCAAGCATGCCCCCTTGCTGTTAGAAGGCACTTTTGTGTGCAATATTGAGCAATAGATGGACGCGATTGCCCGCTTTGGTTGCCTTGGGGATCTGTTCGAAGTGTGGCATCGGGTCAACAAACCTGGATTGAGTGGCAAGCAGCAAGCATCCTGAGACTACGGTGATACTCAATTGCCGTTAGATCGAAGTTCGAGGACCATCGACCGGTTGCCCCATAGGGTTTCTTATGAATGTAGAGTATTTCCATTTTCAGGAAGAGGCACCATTTCCGTGTTTGGGTGGGCAGTATATCAAGTAGCGAGCCAGATGCACACTTGGCCTCGCTCGTAGTTATACAGTGATTGATCTAGCTAGTCTGACATCATTGGGAGCCAGTACTTGCTTCATGTAAGGCATGTTGAACGTGGGTTTTGTTTCTGGCCTAGCACGAAGTTGGGGATACGAGAATATATAAGAGCCTGTCTGGGCCCCCGAACTCACATTCGCATGCCCATTCCACCTTGCAACTTACAGGCCCGAATAACTAGCAGAATTCTCGACTTTCGGTTTCACCATGCTAGGTTCGCCACGGTAAGGGCGACGTTGCGAACAGAAATGGACCGGCAGATGAAACGGAGTGACATCCTCGCTGGTCGGCAAGAGGTTGGGGTGCGTCATCAGTGGGGGGGAATTGAGAAGATGTCCCCTTAGGCGACAGCTTTGCCACACGGACTAATTGTTCCTAAGCACACCTCACCCCTCCGCCAAAGTCGTTGGGTGGAGAGCGTTTCGCAGTGAGAATGGGGCTTTTGATAGCTGATGGGACTTCTCTACGCATAGACCAATAGCACTGCTTGTGAGCTGTAAGGCTTCGGCCCACACTTGTTAGCCGTTCCTCTTCGTTAAATCCCTCTTGCTCCGTAGAACACAAGGGAAGATGGCCCATCCTTCATCAGGAACTTTTATTCTCCGAAGCAGTGCCCACTTTTCCTCTCCGAATGTCATCTTCTCCAGGAGACACCCGATCTCTGCTGACGCAACCCTTCATCAAATCCTCGCAACGCTTGTCCTTTAGCAACTTCTTCGGCAGGCAAAGGCAGCTATATCTACTTACAGACCATTGGAAGATTCTAGCGTCAGAAACGATCGAAATTCACCCACCTTTCTCGTGGACTAACAAAGGATCTAAATACACGAGGACAGTCCTAAGAGATATAAACCTGGTAGTGAGTCTAGATAGAACCGCGCCTGGCATTGGTACCCAGCTCATGGCTAGGGCTTGACTTGCTATCAAGTAAGGACTGAGTAGAAAAATTGAACCATTGCTTGAGCTTCGTAACTTTTTTCTTCGCAGACATCTCAAATTTGATTCCCTGATCCTCGATATCCTTCATGTACTGTTGCGCTTGTTCTTCTATTTCATGCATGTACCTTTGCGCCTGTTCTTCTATTTCATCCATATATTCATTAGCAGTATTGCGTACCTCGGAGTTACCATCGTCGACCTGTTCATGAAATTCGGCTTCGTTCGTTTTGCATTTGTCGTAGATCTGATCACGACACTCGCTCACAGCACTATCGACAATCTCGTTGAGAATGTGTGATTCAAGGCGGCGCTCAATCATCTCATCGACATAACATTTGAGGCGATGCTCAATCATCTCGACCTCGGCGAAGGTGACTTTCTTAAACACACATGGCAGGTCACAGTTTACGTCTTTTGGTATGGCCAGCAGGTGTTGGCGTCCTGATCGGATTAATAGTTCGCGAATCAGGTCATCGGAAACACCACAGAGTTCATTTTCAAGAAGTGCAAGTTTCTCACACTCTGTGTGGCCATGAGAGGAAGCATGCGAAAAGTTGGGCGAATTGAGGACGGTGACGGGGAGAGAGTACTTGGCGTATTCACTTCGGTGGGAGATCCTATCGGTTGAGGGGATGGAAGGAGCAGTCAGCTTTATACCTGATTCTAACACTTTCACCAGCTTGATTTCAGGGTTCTCCAACACACAAGGCCATGAATTTGCACATTGTGCCACAAGCGACTTGCAGTTACATTTGAGTGCAATCATCTGTTTCCACCTGTGTCGGATGCAAAATTGTATTTGCCATGTCCTGGAAGTAAAAAAGTTGTGGATTGGTTGGCACCATTGTCGCAGCATTAGGCAATAGGAACACTTGGGGATGATTTGTTGACATTATGCTTATGGATTCAGAGTCCGATCCTGTCATATTATACTGATACTGCGCAAGATCAGCATTTTCTGAATCGTATTGTTGTTGCTGTTGGTGTAGTGCCTTGTCCGCCTCACCTGTGAAACTAGCATATAAATTTTGAATGTTTCGGTCACCAGACAAGGATATTCCTCCTGTGAGTACGTCACTGTTCTGGAATTGGCTCAGGTCTTGCTCATAATCTTGACTTGCAAGCCCATGCTGGACTTCAGACACTCTGCTTGATAAACAAGTGTTGTTTACAAGCTGCTGAAAAGGAATCTGGGAGTGGAATGGCTGGCTGTCTTTGAAGTTTATCAGTAGTGGTCGGTACCAATAAATAGGGCGGACGTGCTTACTGTACCCTCTGTTGATATCTGTTGTATCTAACGGGCGTTTCAGAGTCAGGTTCCTCGAATTTCGACCAAGGTCAATTCGGATTTGATATGCACCGTGAGCATTTGAGAGTCTCTGTTCTAGCACCTCATGCAGCGATTTCAGAAGAGGATTAAAGATTTCTTCAATATCATTGTTTGCAATACCATGAAGACCCCGTTCGGTTGCTTCAACTGGGATTCCTTACTGTTTCAAGCACTTTATTACTGAAATTCGGTTCTTGTTGCTGGCTGACTTTGGGAGTTCTTTCGTCCATCTAAGTGAAATTAGGCACTGATCATAAGCAAAAGATGATATACCCACAAGCTTTCGCCTCCAATATTGGGCAGGATGTATAACACTCCTAGACCCCCAAGATCATTGGTCAATAACTCGTATTTCTCACCATATCCAACCCACGTCCGGATCCTCTTGCAAATTATATCAATTGAATCATCTGTTGAGCCGGTGCTTTGTATGACTTGCGCTATAAATTCAGAAGCGCTATAGAATTTATATTGACTTCCCGGCTCTATTGCTTGCTTTAGTCGATAAAAGACAACATAAAGGAGCCTAAGGCGGATTTTGCCTAGATCTTGCTGACTTTCATGAAACATTGTCGATGCATAGCAATGGGCAATGGAGTGTCTCGGATGGAATGAGGGAAGTTGTGCCACCCGGGTGTTATGATTCTCGCCGTGCCTGGGGTCTCCATCATTTGTAACTGGCGCCTCTGAAAACAATGTTGCGCGTTTGCTCTGCAAGTCTTCGATGACTTTAGGAATATTGAAATTGGTATTTGCATGTACGGCTCTTTTGGCTCGCTTGAGAGCAGATTCAGAGCCACGTATATCCCGAGGAATGTACTTGCAGATGCTTTTGACAGCTTTGCTGATAGCCTAGGTATAGACTGTGTTAACTGAAATCTGATCTCAAGTGGAGCTAATATTTTACCTCATCTTCCCATAATAAATCACGGTCAAGTTGGGACTCTCCTGCGACTTCTGCTCGATTACAAGCTCCCAGAATGCTCTGGGCTAAGGCTTTGCTCTCAACAACTCCCATGATGACGTCGAAGCAAAGTTGAATTATAAAACTGAAAGGTTGGTGTTTGCTTAGAAGAGCAGCGAGACAACGAGGCAGTGATGTAGGCTTATGAGATCGAATTCAATCGGACAGGACGAATCATGTATGCCGTCCAAAACACGTAATGTATTGAGCTACAGGTATCAAGATTTTATGAGACCAGCATACATTCTTTTTAGCTAAATAATTATTAAAGACTACAATATGAGGTATTTTTAAGGTATAAAGTATCTAAAATTAGATATGATCAAAAGACCTAGCTCTCAAGACTTGAATGATATATCAATTAAAATAAATTGTTGATGTTGAAGATAGAAAGTAGGAAATTTAAAGTCTCCGTACGGAGTAGTACGCATAGAGAAGAAGAGATTCACCTAAAGGGAGTTGTTTAATTAGTTCTCAGACCCTCTAGTTGGAGTACAAGGAATCGGGCTCCGCGCGACCCTATTAGTCAACATATGGGTTACATGGAATTAGGATGTGTATACTCCTAGTAAAATGAATGATTTCATATCCCAGAGGGTCTGAGCAAACTGAGATAACGCTGCATGGTAGTTCAACTTCATTGGAAAAAGTATTAAAATTATTAAGTCTGCACCAACTTCACTAACTTCACTAGCACAGGTGGGTGGAGATTTACTAGGCAGCGGCAACTGGGGTCGGCTTCCAATTCGTTCTATACCTGTTGCGGGGCAACACTAGCCCTGGATGTCTGGCATCGACTTGAAAATTGAGCTACGCCTTCACCCTTCATACTACACCATCAGGCTAGCCACGAACATATAATATCACGGATCTCCCTTTCATCATTGAAACAAGAAAATCATCACAATAATCATCTTCTATCTTGGCCGTTTTACTCACAAATCGTGGTCATGGATTCCATCGTTGAGCCTCGCGATCGGTACATTCTCCGCAAAAGACTCATGCTTATTGAAAGAGACATCAGAGCCCTGGACAAGAAGAACATACATATTTTGGACAGAAGCATGTTGAAATCATGCAAAGTTCGGGTTCTACCTCTGAGTTTTGATGCCCGTGACTCACTCGCACCAAAGTTTTTCACTTCATTTGCCCCCGAAAACATGCCAGAGCCAACACCGGAATATGTCGAGAAAGAATATGACACCAACAGCCTGAAAATGTCGAATGAATACGGACGACTGATTTACATCTATCTTGATTCCTACATTCGCAGATTGAAAATCGACTTTCCACAGGTCCAACAAACGTGGTCAAGCAATCAGTAAGCCCTGAGGACTACCCCTTGTTTAGACACCTATTCACTCATTGCGTCTCTAGAATTGCTGATTACAAGTTTGATAATCTATACCGGATGTTTGAGCCTGAACATGGCACATTGTTGCTAAGCCATGTTGCCAATGCCGCTCAGCCTCATATCAAATGCATAATGCACAACGACCTCGATGTAAATGATGGAAATCTGCTTTGCGGGGAAATTTTGACCGTTATTCGGATCATGCTGGGTCAACTCAAGCGGAAGATGTTCGTTAACGATATGATTGCGCCGGTAATACTATATCATTAAGTATCCTTATTGAAAAAGCTGATCATGATGCCAGGTTCTACTCTTTGCTCTCAATCGACGGTATCCGCGTGCCATAGAAGCATATTTCGATGGCCAGGAGCTCTTGATTCGCCGCACCAAGTCCTACGATTTTACATCCTTGAATACCGCTGGTTTCAAGGACTTTGCACAATGGTTTCTAGGCGAATCTATTGGTGATACATCCCGAGAAAGGATTTGATGGGTTGATCATGGATTGAGAGTGCCTGGTTTAGGGGGTTCCAAAGGCTTCTTAATGTTATTCTGTGATACTGGTTATGTGGCATTTTATGTATATTGGTCTTCCTGCTCCTGTGCTTCGCACTCTGAAATAATGGATATTATTTTCACATGTTCTAAATCAGGCTCAGCCGACGCCAGGTTTCTCATGTAATCTTCCCAGACATCAAAGCGAGCATGATTGGCCTAGAATTAAGATTAACGCGTAAATTAGACTCCTAGCTTGCTTCCTTGTGAAATAATGAGCAACTTCTGAGGGTGAACAGAATGAGACCTAGTAACTTTGCTCCTTCAAAGGAAAAGGAAAAATAGTATACTAAGACGGCAGGTGCACAAGAGTCATGGCCTTCTCGAGGAAAATGACACAATCAAATCCAATATATTGCACTACACTTCTATAATCAAGGCAGGGACAATGCATAATTAATCTATGACGAAGCCTTGTTGATGTGATGACTTCTTTCCTCAGATATTTTTCATTCCAAAAGCAAAATGAGGCGGTAGTAGATCAGTAGGTAAAGCAACAAGCAAGAGCTGATATATAAATTGAACAATTCAAATTCAATCCAAAAAAAGAAACAGAGAGTTTTCCACATCAAAGTTGTATTTTTCCTTCAAATACTGCTGCTCGCCAGCAGGAATAAGGGATCGAGCAGTATCCAGATGACACTGAACAAGGGACCAGTCCTCCGGGGGAATAGGTTTCGCAGATGTTTTTGGTAGCAAAGTGATATGACCTCTTCCAGTCCACTTTCCAAAATCTGCCCAAAAGAAAATACCTGTCACACTCTGCCTGAAGGCTGTGGATACTCCAGCATATTCCTTAAAGGCTATTATTTTTAATTATGCCAAGGGTGTATATAAATCTGACTGAAAATAGGTTGACTCTATTAGATTAAGGTGGGCAGGTGATCTTGAAGGATGTATCTTATTCTATAGCTAGTATTCTAGTCTGAGATTCTCCTCCTTTCTTGAGTAGGTCTCTGTTTCCAGAGCGCTTTAATTATGATCTGTTGGTAAAGGTATGTAATCCAGTTAAGAAATCCTGTTAAGAGAATATATACTTTGCATGAATTAATAAGGCTAGTTAGAGAAAGATAAGCTTTTAAGGTTAGACAGCCTGTGTAGTATATGTCTGCCTAGATAAAAGTACTTAAGAAGAAAGCATATTAAAAGGATAGACTAGTCTGTGCCAAATTATGGTAAGTATTTAAGATAAGGCTAATATTTTATAGATGGAACTTGCTCACTGAGGCCTTACTGATAAGTTCTAAATTAGGTAGCTCAGCTATAAAGCTAAAGTATAATGCATGGGTGGGATTCTTTGAATAAGTTATAATCTGATTATCTTTACTTAGCTAAGGAATGCTAAGCAGAACTTAATATTAATAGGTCCACTATGGTTAAGTAGAATTAGTATTTCACTAATTTAGCTATGTCCAAGTCTAACATAGAATTATGGCAAGCACATTACCTGATAGTGATATCTGACAGTATGACAACCAAAGCTGAGATAATTAGATGCACAAAGCCATAAAGCAGAAGTGGGGCGTGCACGCTATACTTATATTTAGATATAAATCATCTGTTGCCCTAAGCATCATCTTTGTATGTATTTTGCATCATCTTTGTACTCATTTTGCATTGCTTTTATATCCATTTTGTATTGCTTTTGTATCACTTTTGTAACCATTTTGTATCTATTTTGTAACCATTTTGTAACCATTTTGTATTCATTTTGTATTCATTTTATATCCATTTTGTATTCATTTTATATCCATTTTATTTCTATTTTGTATCTATTTTTCTGTCTACCACCCAACTTGTTCGCTCCTCATGTCCACCAAAAAAAGAAAAGGCTTAAAGCCTCGGTCACCGTACACATTTAATCAAATATTATGCAAAATACTTAATGCCCCTTAGTTGATCCAGCACCATGGAGGGCTGACGTTAACTAAGGAAAACTATATTCAGGATAGGTTTGATATACTTCAAGAATTAAACTGTCCTTCCTCTAGAATATTAGGGAATTACTGGCAATTTTTGAAGAGTATCAAAAAAGATTCTGGCAGTGAGATGATTAGTTTATGTGCAGCTGTTCTTAGTTGCATTATGATTAGAAGGATGAAGGACTGCCTTTAATTCAAGCTGGGCTTAAAAGTGAAGGAAAATCAAGCAAAACTTTATTACAAAGCAGTAAAAAAAACAGTCCAAGCTATTAAGCAGAGTGAGTGCACACCATGTCTATTATATCTTATTATCTATTAATATATTATAGAGCACAAACACGCACAAACTTAAGAGATAGGAATGCTGACTAGTGATGTCTATGAGCTCATAAAAGCTGATGCAAGGATGATAGTGAACTCAGATCAGATTGGAAAAATATGGTTGACAGACCCATATAATATTAATACTGCTTCTTTCATAACCATCCCAATCTCTGATGAACTCAAAACATAATTTATCATGTGTCTAAAGCTAATATAACTTGCAACTTAGTTCCAAGTGCTGAACACAAGTCCTAATTTAAGATTTCTGGACATATAGAACAACCAGCCATCATACCAGGGAACAATCATATGCTTTCCCTCATCCTCCATCCTAATTCCATTTACATACAGGCTGGCCTTATCATATATATGCATCGCTCCTCTCCCACTTGTGAGGTATATCATAACTGCCATGGTGTTAGGGGGCGGGTCTATACAGTTGCCTTTCCCAGGCTCAGACCATATTATTAAGTTATATCTACATTAGGTCTTGCAAATGTTAGGTTGTCCTCCTTTATTAAATCAGAGTGGAATACCAGTTCTTTACACTCCTGAAGCAGCTCATCATCTAAAAATGCCATTGCCTATACTTTATTGAAGTTTCTAGCCATCATCCTGAATAGCAATATAAGCATTTGCCTATCACCTAAGGCAAAATTGAATTGCACTGGCTATCCACTGGCTTGCTATCATGGATAACATAACAACAGAATTTAAGCAGAGGTCCACAATATATCTTTTTTTATCAAGAGCTATAATGTGCCCGCTATTTTGATCTCATGAGGATGTAAATTTTCAGATTGAACAACTAAGGCAGAGCATTTGTTAAGGCATCTGCGCATGTTGAGCGATGAGCAAGAGGGGTAGTAATGAAATGGTGTTGGACCCCACACTGGGTCACATGACCACTACAGAATGAACTAAGAGAATTTATAGTAGGCCTAGTTGGCACTCTTGACAACCTTATGGTGATAAGTACTGCAAAGGTAGACAGGCTTATTTATTTTTAGTATTAAAGTATAGAGTAGCATACAAAAACTAAATAAGAAAGATAATGGAAGAAAATTCTGGAAGGAATAGGAATTATAAGGTGACGTAGGGAGCCTCCTCATGCGGGTGAAGACAAGAAGGAAATATTAACATAACATCTAATATTAGGATGGTACTTGCGCCCAGGCAGTAAAGGCCTTTAAGTTTATATAGTTAACTATCAGGTTGCGCACAGTTTATTACTACTAAAGGTGTTAGTAGTAGGGGTATGAACCCCATGCTACTGTGATATTGGTGAATAAATATCATGAGTAGATCAATGATTACCAAGGTCAACCCTGGGTTACTAAGGTTAACCTAAGAAATCTCTATAATATCTATAACTTATCTTTTAGATAGATAGCTAGTAGCTAGATATAAATATAAGATCTTACCCTAGGTAAGTAAAGAGATATTAGCCTAGCCTATTTTTTCTTTATCTTTAGTAATATTATCTTACTCTTAGTAATTCTATCTAGTAGTATATCTAAAGTTATAAATAATAAGAAATTAAATACTCTTACTCTACTAAATTTATATTTATCTTAATAAATACCTACTGCTCTTCCTTATAAGTAACTACTAAATTTAAGCTAAAAGATAGTAGGGTACTCATACTTAATAAAGAGTTTTTACTATAGGAGAACTCTCTACTAAGCCTTATTAAAAAAGATAGAAATAAAATAAGATATAGTAACTAATAGAAAATAATCCCTATAAGATAATATCCTTAAACCTTCCTACTAGAACTACTAGTAATAACTAGCTACTTATAGTAAATAATCCTACTAGGGATCTACTAAAGGATATAAGATAAGCCTTTACTAAGCTATTTAAGATAGTAGCCTAAGGAGCACTACTTACTAATATTAATATACTTTTTTAGAGTATTTACTAAGAGTAATATAATAAATAAGTACTATTCTTAGGATTATAAAAGATAAATTATTATTATAGATTATTACCTATCTTTAAGGTCTTAAATCTTACTCTTATCCTAGAGTATAAAAATATATATATAAGGGATGCTACCTAAAAATAGTAAAAAAAAGTTAAAAAATATTTTAGAGATATCTTACTAATAATAAGAAGAGTTCCCTCTAATCTAGAATATCTTATTATTATTAAATAAAAACTTATAGGACATGCTTGTAAGAGGTAGGAAGTAGATAAAACCTAATTATAGATTAATCCTATATTAGTAATTACTAATATAGAAATCTTTTATATATAGCTACTAAAGAACTTTAAGGAATATAATATAAATAATAAAAGATAGAAGGAATATAAAAGCCTTATCTAAGGTCTATAATCTATATAGCTATATACTACTATCTTAGGTAAAGCTATAGTATATATCTCTCCCCTAGTATATAAAGCTTCTCTTATTTAAAAATTTATTATTAGGAGTTAACTAGAGCTTAGGAAAAGATAGGTAGAGGACTAAATATAACTATAAATATATAATAAAGTAGTTAAATACTTCTCTCTCTATAAGAATAGCTTAGCTACTACTTAATAACTTAGAGGTAACCTATAATTAAAACTATAATTTAACTAGTATAATAGAGATCTAATAGATCTAAGTATAATTACTAGCTCTTCCTAGCTAAGGAGAAACTTCTTATAACTAAATAAGGATTTACTAAAGTAGAAATTA